GGGGGGGGGGGGGGGTTAATGAATTTGAATATTGTCTTTAGCACATTTTGATGTCTTTGATTCCAGCAAGTGCAAGTCTAATTCTTGCCAAGTAATTTCAGTATGAAGATGGTGCACATACCCCGATAAATTAGACTGATGACTTGAAAGTAAGTGGGTCAGGGACAAACATTATGGCTCCTACACCTAATACAAAGTCTAAGCAATCAAAGCAGATGCAAAAAAATCAGCCTACCACCTTGAACAGCCGGTTCACCTGGCAAGCATCTTCACCCAGATATGCACTTCTTGGGAAGGCAGCTGTGAGAAAAGTTTGCTGCAACACTGATAGAGGGCCCCTTTTTGGACTTCTGCAACTACCTTAGTCAGAAAGGCAAATTTGATGCTAATTTGATTGGGGAAAGGGGAAAAAAAAACAGGCAGATTCCTGTCGTGTGTTACTTGATTCAGAAAAGCCTAGCAAGGAACAGTGAAGGCCCAGAGAAGGGACCTTAGTGTTTCTGGGGGAACCCCAAGGAGATGCTGCTCCCTACTAGAGTGCTGTTCAGGAACTGGGTTACTGTGGTCGAAGCGTACATATATTTCACTACTCTACTTTTATTGTACCTCTCACATTATTTGAAGCAACTAGCTTTGCAACTCTTGCAAAATCCATGCATTTGGATTTTCAGGTACTGCATGTTTATAAAGAGGAGGCAAGGACAGGGGGGTTAATTGCCTTTCTTGTTACAATAGTTTAAATAGAATAATGTGTTTCATTTGGGTACTGGGGGCTGAAGGGGAGGATGAGTGGGTTGTGTGGACAGCCACAGCCCCTCTGTGAAAGAAGGAGGTGCAGGCTTGGAAGGAATATTAAGGGAACTGGGGGTATGGAGACTCCTGGTTCTGATTCATGGGAGGAGGTGTGGGAGAGGAGGGGAAGCTGTGGGTGAAGCTATGTTTTTGTTTTCTTTTATGGAAGGTAATACAAAGGAGTTGGGAAACAAGGTTGGGGTGGGCAAGGGGGTGGGGAAAGAGGGCAGGGAAGAGGAGGGGACACTCTCCTAGGCAGAGGCAGTGGAGCGGAAGTGGGTAGAATAGACTGCTTTTAAATTTGGGGGTGCTGGGTGGGGGGGGTGCTTTGTTACAACTTCTTATATTTGATTCCATTCCCATAAAGGTTATTTTACCCTTTATTGTAAGCTCTCTTTCCAGAAGGGTGGCATATAGAAGAGTGCCAGTGAGGTTGAAGCTCTGGCAAAGGGTACACAAGAGCTACAGAGGAATTTAGGGGAAGCCAGCAGGATGTCAGCTCTCAGAAGGTGGTGAGGACAGAGGATTAGCATACAGTCACTACTTAAGAGACCCAAAATCAGAAGCAATGCAAAGTCTATAAAACTACATGGGTTCATTGTACAAGCCCAACACATCAGCCTGGTGAATTTCCAAGCAGGGGTTTACCAGAGCTGTGACAGCAGCTTGTAGAACTATTTTAAACCAGAGTCTCCTTGCTTTTGAGGCTTTAATTAAAGCTAGTTTGATCTTAACAATGTCAACTGTGGTTAGCAGCCATGGGAACATCATGATTCACACACTTGACCAGGAATGCCTTCTTATCAAAGGAATCACATCATTCTGCATTTTAGTACCCTACTGGGAGAGGGTATAAAACCATGCCAGTTAGACTATAGTTTGATAAAACTGTTAAATTGTGTGCCTTCAAGGGATCAACTTTCCCTTTTCCTTACTATTAAACCAGTCATAACAGTATAATGCATCTTCACACAAAACCTACATCAGGAATGTTTGAGGGGACAGAGAGAACTTCTCATCTAAGATCAGGAGCAAACAAAGTGGACTGTGAAGGATCCTTTTAATTTTCAGTCTGACTAAACAGCAAAAGGGCAAAGCATTGATTTAAAAACCAAAATGAGGCAACCTTTCCTAAAAAGCCTTCTCATCGAGAACAGAACATTTGCTAAGTGCTAGATGACTAGAGCAGTTTGTTGTTCTATCAAATCACATGATGCAAATAAAGCTGACTTTATAGAAAAGCAAAAGATTGTTTATTGAAATGATTTCTACACAACAAAAAAAAGGAAGTCCATTCATCATTCTTATTCTTTCCCATTATAAAATACATTGCAACCATGAACAACTGAAGGTCAGAGACAGGACATTGACATTTGTATCTGTAGAGGCCAAGAGACTATTTGTTCATTCTCAAACTAGAACAGTGACAGTGCACGGTGTCACGTTGTATGGTGGACTAACATCCGATAGAGAGCCCAAACTCCTCCAGTTCTATTCTCCAGTTCAGTGCCGCATTTCCTCATAGATAAATACCACCCCCCACCAAAAACATGCACCTTGTTTTGGGAAGGCAGAATGAAGAAAAGATTTTCCCTTAAAAATACCATTAAGTGGCTGAATATAACAAATTACAGAATACATGACACCTCACAAAGAACAAGTTATACAGTACAAACCCCACCCCCACTCTGAACATGGACTTTACCCATGGGACCCCAGGTTAGCTAGGTAGATAAACAGTCTTCTCTATTTTATAGGTAGAAAGTTGAGATGCAGAGATGTTAAATGGCCAAAGTTTCCTCCTGCTAACATCAAATGTGTAAAAGTTTAAAATTCCTGAATTAAAACAAGTCCAGAATTGGTAATCCTGGTTCCTAGTTCTGTACTAAGAACTTTAAAGAAACCACCAAAAATACCCCCATAAAAATGCTTTTTAAGTCTTAGGGAAGGGGAAATATGTGACCTCTGCAGTGGGCAGAGAGGGGCGGGGTTAGATTTTTCCCTGCTTCTGCCAGGCCTCCTTGCTCTGTGACACAGGCTGCTGTGGACTGGCTGCAACTCCAGCTGGGGACAGACTTCCTACTGCAGCCCTGCAACATGGCCCCCCCCCAGGGGTACCCAAAGCGAGTGTCCCAATCGCTGCCCTCTGCCTCTGCTAGCAGCTAAACAGCATTAACTTATTTCCTTGTATATCATATGAACACTGATTTCCAGCACTTAGTGTTTTTTTTTTTGGGGGGGGGGGGTTGCATGTATTATGTGTGGAAATACAGCATGTTTATATTACTATTTATATTAAGGTACATAAAAAGAGCCTCTGTCCCCTTTACAAGTAACAGCATATCATACACTCTTACTTACATGATCTTTCATTTGAGTAGCTACAGTTCTTGACATCATGATACAACAGATGAGGGTTACAAGTATGAAGTAAAGTGCATACATGAAACGGGTACTTGTAGACTGCTTTATCTTGGGGCAGCATTTGCAGCAGAGGGAGCAAGCAGCGGTACCACAGCAACAGGCCAGCTAGAAAAGAAAATGGACAATGTTATTCAGTCCATCAGCACTGCCACATTAACTTGACTAACTCAGCTGGGCTTAATGAAAGCACTCCCGAGATAGTAATTAGGAAGAGATGCACCATTCTTTGACAGGAGAAATTGCCTGTTTAGTTGCCAGAGAAGCACGCAAACAGATCCTTATAATGCAAACACTGGTGGGGGGGGGAGATAAAAGTAGTTCTAACTCATCATTATTATTTTTTTGCATCCTTATGCAGATCAGGGTTATGGCATCATTCTCCCACTCGATCCAGAAATACCAATGAAGTCCAGTGACAAAACTGCATTTCCCAAAATACACCAACAGTAGAAGTCAAAGGATCTGCTGATCCATGGCAGCAACTTGAAAAATAATAGCCGCTGGCAACAAAAGCAGACAAGATGGCTTAATTTCTGATTTGAAATGGAGACTGAGTTAATTTCACCTCACAAAGTTGTAGATAAATTAGTACCAAAAAGATGAATTTCTTATGTGGTGAATTTCTCATCCCTTCATGAAAAGGATATTGTCTTTCTTTAGAAAGTTTAGCTCCATAAAGAGAACCCTTAACAGAAAAGGTATTTTAGTGATTTAGTTTTTTCTGTAAAGATATGCCAAATTCTTAATACAATACTGAAAGATTCTCTACGTTCTTCAATGCCTTCGAAAGTCATGCTTTGTGACAGACAGGCATTTACTTTTTCTTTGCATTTAAGGCATCACTTCATGAGATGCTTGATTGGATGAAGCTGTATTCCTGGGCCTGGTCTTCATTCTTTCCATTCTACAGGCCAAGTCTTTACTTATTAACAAAGAAAAACCACTTGGACTCTGAAGTTTTCCTACAGTAAAAAGCAAACCAAAAGACTATCCCTCATACAATGCTAGAGCAGAGATGCCTTTTACAAGGTCCAAACAGACTTCCTAAACAAGGACCTCACCCTCCATTCCCCAAATCATTTACTTTTCCCCTATTGCAGAAGCCCTCTTCTCCGACATTTCCCATTTTGCAAATTGACAGTGTCTTGCACTGCGTCACCACTACCTCCCAGACTAAGCGTAGGGTCCTTGCCCTTGGTTCCTTTTGCCCATGGTAACCTATGCAGGTCTTTGGTCGGTCCAAGCCCCTTGTGCTGCGTCTCTGAAGCATGCTCTTTCAAGCAGCCCACTTTTGTGGTGGGTGGTAATGGGAAGGGCATCCAAGGCCACCACACTCCATTTTCTTCCTGAAACCCCTTATAAAAACAAGATTGTTGCCTCAGAAGTGGGTTTTGAGGAGTGAAACTTATGCTACACCTGAGAAAGGGGAATTGAGAAAGCCAATCCAGCAGCAGTTTAAGTCCACTATGCAGGTGAGTGCACAAAATGCAAGGAGTAGAGAATTCAGCCACAAACGTGTAAAATAAGTAACAACTTAATATAATTAAACCTCTAGTCACACAATTTAAAAGCTAAAACCAAAAGAAAAGTGTACAGTCTATTGAATGTACAGAGACAAAGGGGTTCTTGATAGGCACTTGTCTAATGACTAATCGAAGCCCATGCAATACAACTGAAAGGCTAACAGAAAAATAGCACTTTTCTGTACACATTAAAATGCTTTATTTTCCTTAATGGACTGTGAGCTAGAGTCTCATCATTTTACAGTTAATGGCATCCTGGACACCTAAAACCTGCTACTTCTGCCTCCTATATCTGGAAAGATGCATGTAGAATGAGAGACAAAATGCACGCACTGAGAAAAATCTTCCCTTGCATTGGGCAGCTCCATACCCTAGAGCTAGTAGATTCAGTCATGAGAGGATCTCCCAAAACGTAAGAGGATTTTTCAGAAGACAGAGCACTACTGCACCCATTTCTCTACCTAATGCACATTCCTCTGCCCTGGCTGTGCTACTGCAATCTGGCACTACAGCAATCCCTGGATCTCATTATAACAACCTTTTGGGGCCATTTGCAGCAGCACAAATTAAAGCAGCCTTTCTTAGTTTGTGCCTGCAGGCTGACCTAGCATAGACAATGCCAAGACATCTTTGTACCCTCTTTCCTCAGCTGCTCAAAGTGCTGTTTGGTGAAAGCTGAGGATTTGGCCAAATCTGAATATAGAGCATCTTACTGGTGATCCAAGAACTCTGCCTGCTGTAATGCAGTCAACTAATAAATGCTGTTATGCATAAGAGGCAGACAAAGTTCTTTGGGTAAATCTGATATTTTTTATTAGACCAACTCAAATAGTTGGAAAAAAATCATCTTTGCAAGTTTTCAGGCTGATGGGATGCAACTCTGGGTATACGCCATCCCCTTAAAGAGAGATAAAATCCTTCTCCAGGAACTGAACCATTAAAAACCTCTTTGGAGGGCCCATGGGTAGCCATGTACTGCTGGTACCAGAAAACCTAGTCTCAGAGACCAAGGAGCCAGGGACTCACCAATTTTAGAAGGTATACCTGGGCTGGCTTCAAGATGGTAATCGAAGAGACTATGCTAAGGCTGGGGGAGGTGGGAAGGGGAGGGCGGGGGCATGGTACCAAGGAAAAGTTCTTCTGGGGAACCCATGACAACTGCATTTACATACAACAGTATTCAATTTGGGTGGGAAATCTTAAACTTTGGGTCTTTATGACTTTCTAGTGGAGATTCTTATCTAGGAATTATTACAACTATACTGAAGAACAAGAAACATACAACCAAGTTAGCATTCACGAAAGCCAAAGGGGAACCACACTGAATCAGCCCAGGGACAGCACGGCTATATGCCAGTAAAGCCTCATTCAAGCCTAGCAACACCTCTGCTATTCCAATTCTAGCCTCTTGGGCAGACACTTAAAGCAAAGAACACTTAAATCATAAAAACAGCTTGCTTAATTATTTTTTAAATAGAAGACACTATTTATACAGATTTTAATCACATACTTGCTACTGGAAGCTATTTTTTCTTCCTTCAACAGAGTTCCAATATTCAGGAAAATATTTAGACATGTCTCATATTCAGATGCACTCATGTAATGCATGCTAAATAGCAGCACAAGTCAGAAACACGTGTGGCGAGATGAGACTATTTTCCAGTCAAGGTTGAGATCCATCAAGGGTCAGTCTTAAATTCATTCTTGTGTGTATTGGGGCTGGACACACTTGCTAAAGACATCTGTACGGATGCCTTTTGGTGCATGATGTTCACTGAGACATGGCCTCTATTGCAAGAAGTAAAGAACAGGTAGAGAGTGATTTGGACAGACGGAGGATACAAGAGGCACAGTTTATACACCAGAAGGAAAGAACACCCCAGTACTTTATGTACTTTTTTTTTAATACAAAAGTAAAATCACATTTGTGCCATCAGACAACCAGCACACAGCATCTTTACATAAGTTCAAGTGTCTGAAGGCTACTGTGGGAGAAAATTAAGTTAGGAGTAAAAAAAGGCTTGTATGAAAAGGTAAAACACTTTTTTCCCTTGCTGCAGGGGGGCAGGGCACAAAGCAATGGCTTCAAATAGCAGCAAAGTAGGCTTAGATTAGGCAGCAGGAAAAGCTTTGTTACTGTACCTGTGTGAATCTGTTGGAGCAAAGAGGCAGTAGAACAGACTGCCCAGGGAAGTTGTGGAATCTCTTGCACTGGAGGTTGTCAAGACAAAGTTGAATAAACATTGGACAGGGATGACTTAGGAGTAGCATTCACGTACTTGTGCAGAGGGTTAAAGAAATGAACCCTGAAGTCCCTTTAAACCCTCTGGTTCTATAACAAAGGGAAGGAAGTAGAGTAGTCTGTGATAACAAAATGCCAATTCACTCAAATGGAAAAAAATGTGCAATACAGCAACAAGGCCGCCACTACTGAACAGATCAGTCAGGCAATGGAGAAACTAGTTGCCCATGATGAGTGACAGAGATGAAGAAGCTGAGAGTGATTTCTAGTCTGCAAGAAAGCATGCAAGAAACAAAATGGTGTGGTAAAAGGCAAAGATGATATCAAGAGAGGAGAAGCTGAGCAACAAGACTGAGATGGTTTCAGCACACAGCCAGAACAGAAGGAGTGTATATGGGAATGAAAGTTCAGGCCATGAGAGTTGCAGGCAGAAGAAAGTGAGGCAGATCCACAGCAACATGGCATAAGCATATACAACAGGAGATGAGAACATTCAGCATTTCAGAAATATTCCATTGGCAAAGGTTTGTGGAGAATGAAGACTCACTGAGTACCCTATCTGCTGAGACATGGTTGTATTACTTAGCCAGGATTCAAAGTTTAGACACCAATATTCCTGAATGGCCCACAATGGGTTAGGTGTTATCCAAATCCTCATTGTCCTAAAAGAATGAGTACTGGCACTAACAGGGTGTTCGCAGAAGTTTCAAATTGAAATCCTGAGTCACCAGCAGCCTACCAGAGAAGCTTCAAAAAACTTCCTTGCATTTCAAAGGAAATTTGTCATGTTATCTATTTTTATAAAACTTTTTGGTTTCAGTGACCATGCATTTTTTTTGACAAAAAACAGCCTTGTCTGAAGTTCCCAATAAATTCAGTTTCCCATGAGTTAGGCATTAAGCTTTTATGCTGACATGGTAAGCTTGCACCAGCTCTCTGCATTGGCTGGAATATCACAAACATCTGTCAGTAATTACAAACACTAGGTAAGAGGGCCTTTGCTCTCTACAAATATTTAAAACCAAAACTCCCTCTTTCATTCCATTGTATTGAGGAATAAGGGCTTTTAGTTAATACAAATAAAATCTGGCAGAACATGAGAAGGAAACAGCATCCATTTTACTCAATGCTGTTTTAACTAGGGATGAAATCTAATGGGAAAGGGACATTCTGTTTTAACCCACAGTCTCAAAACTGCTTACATCAGGGGGGCTCAGCCTCGGACCCATGGGCCAGATTTGGCCTGTAGCACCGTGGCATCTGATCTGTGGGGTTCCCCATGGGTCTGGAAATTTGGTGACAGGGGAGTGGTAGCACTACTCCACTGCTGCCAAATCTTTGGACCCATAGGCAGCTCCAGGCCCTACAAGCTAGATCCTGTGCCTGATCCCAACTCATCATGCTGGGCCAGGGTGATGCCAGGTCCCAGGGTTCAATACCAGTGTGAGGGGCTGGAAGAGGGTGGTACCAGGCCCCCAGAACTAATCCCTGTGTGAGAGGGACAGAAGAGGGCAATACTGGTCACCTGGGACCCAATCCTGGCATGCAGGGGACAGAAGAGCATGGGGCCAGGCCACTGGGACCCAATCCTGCAGCACAGGGGGTGAGAGGGGATGGTGCCAGGCTACCAGGATGCAGTTCTGCCAAGCAGAGGGCAGGAAGACGTGATGCCAGGCCCCAGGGCCAGATATGGCCCACAGCTGAGCTCTGCGCCACTCATCTGACCATCAGGGCCAAAAGGTGGTCTACATTAAAGAAATGGCTAGGTCAGCATATTGGCTAAGTTGGCTTTATTCACATCTTCATGGGACATACTGCACTGCAACTTATCTCAATTGACAAGCCTAGATATACTCCACACCCTGCCCTGTTGAGACGGAGTCACAACACATTCACATAAGAAAAATAGGTCAAGGTTAATTAACAGCTTCTACTCTAACTCTTGGTACTATTAGAGTTTGTGAACTTTCATCCTTCTTCATCATAAGTAACCCAGCTGCTCAGAGATGAAACAAGTAAATGAAGCCAAACAAAAGTAGATTCGCCCTGAGCCTGCAAGGACAAACAAGTACAGGACATCCCCGTGGCACAGTCCTACTGAAGGCAGCAGGCATCTGATGA